GATATATATATATATATATATGTATGTATATATTTCTTCAATATCAATTAATGAAGTTGTTGATTTTTTGTGAAGAATATTTTTTTTTTCAAAGGATTTATTATTATTTTTATTTTAAATAATAAATTATCCAAAATTTTAATATAAATTAGTAAGACCCAAATTTCCATACGGGAAAATTAATTTTAATTATTAATACCACCTTCCACATGCAGTCATGGACCAATAATATTTTAATTATACAACATGGTCAAAGAACAATTTTTCTCAACTAATTAATTATATAAATATATACATATATATGTATATAGGTCATTTTTTAAAAAAATAATTGATTTTGATATGGGTTTTTTCTTAATTTTGCATTAAATTACTCATTGTATTTTTAAAAAATTATTTAAATTAATATATTTAATCAATTATCAATAATATTATTAATATTTGATATTACGTGTCATTAATTTTAATATATTTTATTTAGTAAATGATTATTTTTCACGTCATATATTATATATATTTATTTAATAAAAAATTAAAATAGAGATGAAATCGAATATAAAAATATAATACAAAGATTAAAAAAGTAGTTTAGCCTCTATATATAATATATATTTATATGATACACTTTGTTTTTAATAATTTTCAATGAGAATTTGAAATCTTTAAACTTCACTTCAACATTTGTGATACATAATAATTATGGTCATCTTATGTGTTCTATGTGTGTCTACCTTAGGGTTAAAATTTCTTAGGATCTAGTTCTTGATCGATGTCGTTTCGACGCTGGTTCCGGCCATGGTCATCTCCGTCTCCGCGGACTTCGCCTGCTCTCGGAACTTTTTATAAATGTCACTCTTGTAGAACTTCCTAGTCCTAAGAACCAAAATCAAGGATACAAAAGAACCAAAAAATGTAACAGCAGTGATTATAATGAAAGACAACTTGAAGCAGTTAACCCCAGTGCAATTCAAGTCCTGACCAGGCTTCCTGGTAAGCCCTAAAGCTGAAAGCTGCTTCTCAGCTTCCTTATCATACAAATACCCAGCTACCCTAACATTAAGCAAATAAGACCCAATTGGGCTAGCCACAGACCCAAAATTATACAAAGTGGAATAGTATTTTAGACCAAAGATTTCAGAGATTATGGCAAAAAGCAAAGGCCATTGCGCCCCAAAACAGAACCCTATAATCACAGATGCTATATAAAGACCATTAGAGATGTTGAAGGCAATTAGAAGATGACCTATGCAGGAGAAGAGGAGGATTATGGTGAGCATTAAGGGTCTTGGGAACTTGTATTTGACTAAGAAAATTTCAGAAACTACCCCAGACATGACCCTCCCTAGGTAATTCCATATGCTGACTAGTGAGACGAAAGTGCTTATGCTTTTTTTAGGGTACCCTAAAGAAGTTCCAATCTGACCCAGATTGTCAATGGCGGTTAATGTCCCACCTACTCCACAGATTGTTGCGGAGAAGAGAATAAACATGTCAATACTGAAAAGGGCTTGGAGGATTGTGTAGTCATCTCCTCTGTTTGGTGGTCTGAAAGCTGTTCTCCAACATGAAGGCGTGTTCTTCACAATTTCATGATCAGTTTCTTCTCCGGGTCTTGATGATGAGGATTGAGTTGCAGATGAATCTTGGGTGGGATCTTGGCCGGTCGCTAATGGCTTCTCTGTGATAATTTTCACAGGGTAATCATCATTCAAGGCTAGATTTTTCTTCATCTTCCAAAGCTTCTGTTCTTCAACAAAAACAACAGCTAGTGGCAAAAAGAGCAAGAAGATAACCATGGCTGCACTCCCGGCAAATTCTCTCCGAGTAAAATTAGCTGTCTTCTCTGCTATGATGATGATCATCAAAAACCCAGCAAGACCCAGTGAGATATACAGAAAATTATAAAAAACTTTAAGCTCGTTAGGGTGACGAACCACTTTCATGATCCTGATCGTCCTCAAAAACGCAAAAGAAATAGCAGCAGGCAACCAGCCGATCAACAAGATTAAAGATTTCGAGTCATCGCCATAGAAAGCATGAAAAAGCTGGGTGATTATAGCCCCACTTAGCCCAACATAACCCTTCAAGATCCCAAGAACAACTCCACGACTCTCTGGAAAATTCTTGACGCAGGTGACTAAAGCTCCAGTATTAGCAAATGACTGAGAATTTGCTCCAATGCAGATGTATAAACACATGTGCCATACTTGGGGAGCTGAGATTTTCTTGGTGACCGCCAGCCAGATCATGAAGTAACTGTAAAAGTATTCAAAGTTAAAGTTAAATTCAAATTAATACTTTCTTGAAAATAGGAGAAAGAAAGAAGAAGAAAAATCCACTAAAACACTAAGTTTTTTTAATTTGTGTTTATTGCTCGTGTATATAAATACTAATACAACTATTAAAATTTCAAATACATGAGTAATAATTAATTCTAATCCATGAACTGTAATAAGAAAACTTAAAACACTCAGTATTACAGTCTAATTCATAGATAATAATTAATTTTAATCCACTTACTACAACAAGAAAACTTAAAAGGCTTTTAATTCAAGAACTATGACCACCAACAAATACCAGAAGACGTGTATCTTTAACTCAATATAAAGTGTCTAAACTCCTTAGTTAAGTTTTCTAAATTTATAAATTATTATTTTTAACTCCTTGGTCTTACCCGAAAAAGTTGAGGACGGCGCCGATGGAGAGAACGACCCACGGCGGAGTGATCTCGTTGATGAGGCCGGAGAGGACGCCGACGTTAGCACCTAAATCTTTGAAGAAGCTGAGGAGGTTGAGGGTGGTCTGGTCGTAACCCAAGGAGGTTTTGATGTCTTGAGAGTAGAGACCGAACATGTAGGTGGCGCCGGCGGCGGCCAAGATTAGCAGACAAGCGAAGACCATGAACCACCGGCCCGTGATGACTTGGACGGCTAGGCTCTTCATGTTACCCGAGCCACCAACGCCACCATTCATGGTAGTACCATGTCCTGCAACTACCATTTTTAATCTGTTTCTTTATGTGTATATATGGTTATCAATGCTCTGTTTTCGTTAGTGGGTATCGTTGTAGATTTACAAAGAGAAGCAGAGTGGTACATATAATGTGTGTGTGTGTGTATATATATATACAGACGTGGAGAGAGTGTCTGGGTGTGGATGAGAGAGAGGGAGAGAAAGAGAGAGCGAGTACGTGTGGATAAGAATGCTACCGCAAGAGGACTTCATCGTTGACTTTTAATTGATTCCGCGGAAGAATTGGGGGTGTGGAAGAAGAAATTTATTAAGTTATGGGGTTTAAAAAGAATATGTACAAAAATGGTGGGTTTCTGTGCTATTAAAGTGTATTGAGAGCATGAAATTTTTGTATTTATATATAAAAACAAAATTATTCACAAGAAAAAACATTTTGATTATTGGAGATGATGATTCCAACATGGTATCCAATCAAATCATATGTTAGGAAGATGTCAAAATGTATTACTAAAAATTAATGGATATGTCAGAAACAATTTAATGAAATTGAAATTTATACTTTAGAATTGTTATTTTATTATTAGTGTATGTATATATAACGATTCGAGAAATTTACATTCCTTACACAATAATTTAAAAGTATTAAATAAATATTACAAAATAAATTTTTTTAAAAAAATATAATAAATGAAAAAAATAAAAAAATATATAATATACGTTATTTTATTATTATTATTAGTATATGTATATCATATGACATATAAATGTATATAATTTTTATTTAAAAAAATAAAATAATATAAATTATCATTAATCAAAATAAAGATAGAATTACTACGTAAACTAAAATTAATTTATTATAAAAATTGATTGAGGATAATAACCATAAAGTAGGTGCACGCGACATCCGTGGCATGCGAATGAAAATTAATTAGGGAATGTATGAATAAGAACTAATTAAGTTATTGTGTATATAATGTATATGCAAAGGTGCAAGTGATATATGAGTACGAAGATTAGTAACTTGATTTTGTATTAATTACAATATGTTAATCGTGATACTCGAGAAAGAAATGAAAACAATTACAAATGATTCGTGGGTTTACAATCCAACAATAAATTAAATAAAATTTAATGATAAAAATAAAACAAAAGGAAATAAAAAGTT